TGATTTTTTGAATAATATACTTAATTTTCTTTTCTTTAGATCAATGTAACATTTATTTTCTATTCTAAATACACAGGTCCTTCTCAAAATATTAGCATATTGTGATAAAGTTCATTATTTTCCATAATGTAATGATACAATTTGAACATTAATATATTTTATATTCATTGCACACTAAATTAAATATTTCAGGTCTTTTATTGTCTTAATACGGATGATTTTGGCATACAGCTCATGAAAACCCAAAATTCCTATCTCACAAAAGTCAACCTTTAAATAATTATGTACAGTTATGCACTCAATACTTAGAAATTACATCTTCAATGCGCCGTGGCATGGAGGCAATCAGCCTGCGGCACTGCTGTGGTGTTATGGAGGCCCAGGATGCTACGATAGTGGCCTTTAGCTAATCCAGAGTGTTGGGTCTTGCCTCTCTCCACTTTCTCTTCACAATTTCCCCCAGATTCTATATGGGGTTCAGGTCAGGAGAGTTGGCAGGCCATTTGAGCAGGTTATACCATGGTCAGTAAACCATTTACTAGTGGTTTTGGTACTGTGAGCAGGTGCCAGGTCATGCTGAAAAATGAAATCTTCATCTCCATAAAGCTTTTCAGCAGATGGAAGCATGGAATGCTCCAAAATCTCCTGATAGCTAGCCGCATTGACCCTGCCCTTGATAAAACACAGTGGACCAACACCTGCTGCTGACATGGCGCCGCAGACCATCACTGACTTTGGGTACTTGAGACTGGACTTCTGGCATTTTGGCATTTCCTTCTCCCCAGTCTTCCTCCAGATTCTGGCACCTTGATTTCCCATTGACATGCAAAACTGAGCAACAGTCCAGTGCTGCTTCTCTGTAGCCCAGGTCAGGCGCCTCTGCCGCTGTTTCTGGTTCAAAAGTGGGTTGACCGCGGGAATGCAGCACCTGTAGCCCATTTCCTGCACACGCCTGTTCAAGTGGCTCTGGATGTTTCTACTCCAGACTCAGTCCACTGCTTCCGCAGGTCCCCCAAGGTCTGGAATCAGCCTTTCTACATCTTGCTCAGCGTCCGGTCACCTCTTCTCGTTGTGCAGCATTTTCTGCCACACTTTTTCCTTCCCACAGGCTTCCCACTGAGGTGCCTTCATACAGCACTCTGGCAACACTCAATTCATTTAGAAATATCTTTCTTTGTCATAGCCTTTTGCTTGAGGGTGTCAATGACGGCCTTCTGGACAGCAGTCAGCTCGGCAGTCTTATCCATAATTGGGGTTTTGAGTGATGAACCAGGCTGGGAGTTTTAAATACTTCAGGAATCTTTTGCAGGTGTTTAGAGTTAATTTGTTGATTCAGATGATTAGGTGCATAGCTCGTTTAGAGACCTTTTTAATGATATGCTAATTTTGTGAGATAGAAATTTGGGGTTTTCATGAGAGTTATGCCAAAATCATCCGTATTGAGACAATAAAAGACCTGACATATGTCAGTTAGTGTGCAATGAATCTAAAATATATGAATGTTTGAGTTTTATCATTACATTATGGAAAATAATTAACTTTATCACAATACAGTAATATATTGGGAAGAACATGTAGAGAGATTTATAGGGGATTGATAGGAAGTTAAGCAGAGTAAGTGATAAATTATGCATGTTGATTATTTTAGAATTACCCACTTGCCTTAATGACTCTTCACTCAAGCTCTGTCGAAGTGTGGTTGTCCTGATCTTCGTTCCATGATATTCAATTTTTAAAATTTTATTTCAGACACTTTAAGCTTTTCAGAAACAGTCAGAAGGTGTGGAATTAACTTTAAGAAAACTCAAAACATTAAAAAACAAAAATGGCTTAATAAAATGCTTATTTGTATTTGCTGCTACTGTCGTCCTCATATACATTCAGCCAGTGTCAAAAACGTAAGGCTCTCAACATAAAATAGCTCATAATCATAGAAAGATAAGCATTACAGTGTTTGCAAAAATGTTAATAAACCCTTGGTTTTTTTTGTGTGATGTAGCCCCCTTTACTCTAAGACTCCTACTAAAAATGATAAAAAAAAAAAAGGCTAATTACTAATGAAGATCGTGATTTAATTTCAGGGTAATTTTAATCTTAACTTGTGTTCTCTGCAGCAGGGATATTGTGATACAACACAGCAATTTTCATATTGACAGAATTTCAATATCAGCTCTAGTCATACACACTTTTATTGCTTCCTTCATGGTGTGGAATCTTGCTCCTACACTGTAGCTGTAAAGTTCGGCTTTTAACCAACTCTATCGGTTGTCATTCCAAAACTCCACTAGGATTACTAAGGCTTGCTAATTCTCAGTCAGAAGACTCCCTTGCTATGCTAATGAAACAATTTGGGGAGGGGTGGGCTGAGATGGATGTAAAAAAAAAAAAACTAATTATAACTAATACTATAACTAACTATAGTAGAAAGAGAGGGAAATGAGTAAAACAAACAAGCATGCAAACATGAATTATTCAACTCATTTAAATATGTCATGCGATTAATTTTTATAGTGCGATTAATTGTTTTATTGTCTATTGTGACAGCCCCTTATACTTATGTTGGAGATTCTTAAATGCAGGTCTATAGATTATATTTTCTTGGCTGATATTGGACCAATTTCCAATATCAGATTGGGACGTCCCTATTCTGAAGGCTTAAAGATAATGTTTTAAAACAAACAGTTTCATGACCAAGTTTTGGAGCACCTTAAAGGTGTGACGTTGGGTTGGGCTTCAAAATTAGGATACAACCTGTGAGCATCTTAAAAAGAAGCAGTCAGAAAACCTGCTCTACTCTTAAGGAGCTGCAGAGTTATATTGCTCAATAATAACAGTTAAAAGTTTTGCACTTTACCAGCTTGGTCTTTATAGAGAAGTGTCAAGAACTGTTTTTTTCTTTTAAGCCAAAAGAAAAGCTGAGACCAGATGAGTAACTTTGTTCTACTTTTTATTTACAGAACTTTTGAATACTTTCTATCATCTTCATCTCTACTTCATTATCAGACCGTATTGTTTTTGTTGTTCTACTGCATAAATTTCTCATGAAATACTCTGAGATATATAGTCATAACATAGAAAGAGAACAAGCTTCATATCATTGAAATCCTCAGAGATATCAACATAAAGTCCTGCAGATGACTTGGAGGAAGAGATAAAGCAAGTGCTGAAAAAAACCTTGACTTTCGTCTGACTCTGATGGGCTAAATCTGAAAAACGTTACAGCTGCTGTGAAATAATGTTTTCCTTTCCGTCTAGAGGAAATGCCGGGGCAGGTCCATGATGTGAAGGGTCTGACCGTCTTACAGCCTATAGATCAGCAAATTACTTCTTAGAGGAGTTAACACAATCCGTTAAAGATCAGGGGGGTGTAAAACAGTAACATCACTGTGTTTGTGCATTATTTCCTAAGAAACGAGGGGCTGAAGGACACAAGTTAATTACATCTTTAGTGTTTGCTCTTTAATTATTCCTGGGCGTAGCGTCATGTTTTTAGTATGTTTCACTTTAATTTTTCTGACTGGAAATGTCTGCTAATGGACCTTCTTATTCTGTGTTGACATTTTTTCTTATGGCCACATCTCTCATTTAGGTCACCCCTTTCTTTTATAGAGCAGGCAGTCTTAGATTTAACTTCTCACATACAGTTGCTTTCCAGGTTGTTAGACAATTGATATGGCCGGAAAAAATTAAAAATAAATACATTTTTACTCCTACTGTAAAACTTGAAAATTCATTATCCCCAAACTCGCAATGTTTTTTCTTGGCTATATTTTGCATTACAAAAAAGACCTTTTTAGCTGCTTATCAATTTAAGAAAATTATGAAATTATCTATAATTCATTTATGATTGATATTTTTAATATCAGTTGAGTAACAAAAATGTTAAACGTTGAATATAAATTGTCTTTTTTGTGAAATATCAAAAAGATTTCATATGAAAATGGCTTCAATTATCAGATATAATCTTCGCCTCTGTAACAAACTGTACACTTTTCTGTTTTCTATCAAGTGAAAAAATGTACTGAAAAATGTATTGACTCTAAGTGGCCATTTAAGGTGATATTATCTTATATTACACATACAAATCTCTGAGTGGTTGCTTGGCTATAGTAATGACTACTCCTACAAAGCCAGATGCTATTAAAGGTAGAGCTGAGGCTGCAGGTAAACACTAATTTTGGCCATCCTGTCAAATTCTGCTTCCACAAATGTTGTTTACATCCAAGGCTCATGTTCGTCTTAACTGGTGTAATGTTCTCTCAAGATTTGGTCTTTAATTTTAGTTATGATCCATGACACGTGATTTTGGTGTCACCTACTAAAAATGTCTCACTTAAGAAACGTGTGTTTATATGAACCATTGATAGAGCAAAAGATTGTGCCTCCAGATGAAAGAGCGATGGAGTGAAATGCCTCTGTAACTGATCTAGTAAAGCACTGGTTACTTTTCACTTTGGGATTTCTGATGTTGAAAAGTGTTGGACCAAAGCTGTAACTCTGAATTCACAGTTCCTTCTGATTTTCTCGGATAAAACTTCAATATCAGTGTCAAATTTCCTAATTTTAGAATCTTGAAAATGAGACATTTCCAGACCAGCTGAAAATCATGAGTAATGTTTTGACTAATTTTTTTTTTTTTATAAGAGAGCACATTCAATGTATTAACAAACTCAACCAAGTTAGTTCTAAAAATCTATTTAAACTAGTGTGTTTCAGCTTGTAACAAGTACTCAAGCTCCTATCACGTATAATAAGCTTCATAATAGCCAAAGTAATAACTGCCAAACCCTAGTTTGAGTCTTCTTTTAAATTTAAATATAGTTTTAAATGCCGATAACAAAAGATCTGGTCACAAAATAACATAAAGAGTGCACAACTGTGGTTAAGTCTGAATGATCAACATGGCTTATTGAATCCCTGAGACAAGCTGCTTTGTGATACAACATCAGGAAACAAAAATCCTCAGCCAAATCAAGAGATTCTTGATTACAAAAACCCATATTTCCCAAATTAGCGACAATAAACATATATACAGGATTCTTTAAAAATCTAAAATTAGGATAGTAAATTGTACTTTTTTGACTTTATAAGACCTCACAAAATCTCTGGGATAGACTTTTGAACAATGTTAAATTTTATTCACCTCAGATACAGATATTTTACATTTTTGGTTACTTAATCACAGACTTCTCTTTGGCAGCAGTTTAAATTGTAGATCGTGCATTAATTCCTTTATCTCTTTATATGTATTTTTTGGTGTATTTTGATATGTATTTATTAATTCTTCAAATAGAGCTTGGTGTGATTAACTGGTGAGTTATTAGCTGAAATCAACAAATGAGTTTTTTTAATACTGATGCTGATATTAGTTATTTTTACATCTGTCTAACTGATTGCAAATAATTGAGTGCTGATTCTTTATGCTAATAATGCTCTCTTTTTCCTTTGACGTGATAAAAATTATACATTGATAACAATGGTTACAAACATCTCAATTTAAACAAAAATAGACTTTTCTTCAAAAATAAAAAAAATAATATTTTGATAACAGATGCAAGGTGAGGAGCACGGTTGTTCCAAATATCTGTAGCAAAATCATTTTTCCAACCAGTGGTCATGACCAGTGTGATTATTCTCCGCATTTCCAGTTGGAATCATATTTTCCATGCATAAAGCTGACAACCTGTTCTAAGTTCCCATGATTTCTTCCATTTTAACAACTACATTGAACAAGCAAAATCAACATCACGTAACTTCTTTTATATTCACCCCCACCGGTTCTAGATTTGAGTCATTTGCCCTGTGGTGTTGTTTGTCCTTTCAGCAATGGAGGAGCTTGATGGAGACGAGGTGAGAGTATCTTCCAGAGGACGTCTTGCTGAGAGGGACATTGTTCAGGTACTCGTTGTGATTATATTTAAATTTGCAGGTTAGTAAGAACAGCTTTTCTGTGAAGGGAAAAACTACAGGGGGTATCTTCCCAGAAAAGTGTGGGTAAAAGACGGGAATGACTTTAGGAATAATAAACAGGTCAATATTAATTCAATTTAATTCAGTTTATTTATATTTAAAGCATGAGTTAACAACACATTTCATCTCAAGGCACCTAAAAAACAATACTGTCAGATTGGTTAGGATAGCCAGTTGATTGCATCCAGTCATTGACTTGCAAGATAAGATATTAAAGGTATAGAGCCTGATGATTTATTTCCGGGCGGTTCAACTAAATAAGTGGTCCGCCTAATTGTCAATCATTCTGGTGATATGTTTACGTAAGGTGGTCCTAAGTGCTCGTCCTCAGTTAGCTATCTTTTTCTGCACACTTTCAGGCGTGTGCGGTGAGCTACAGTTTCAACCAGTCACTGAAGCTCATTTTTTTCACAGCAGTTCTTTGAAAATGGCAAAGGGTCATAAGAGAAAAAGTGTCTACTATATAGTCCCCACTCTATTTAGTGATTGAGGGATTTAGGTGTTAGGGCAGACGCTTGGAAACAGTAAGCTTGTATGTGCAGTGAAAACAGCAACTTATAAAAAAGCAGAGCCTTCACAAGGAAACATGTGCTCATGCATGCTCTGGCATGTGTTCAATAGGCGTTCCCTCTTGGGAGCGGGTACAGGGTTGTGCATGTGTATTTCCATTTTTAGTGGAGAGGGCGGGTCTTTTAAAAAAATTGCAAAAATCCTCCACAATACCTTTAAGGAAAAAACATTTGCAAAATATGTTTATTGTTATCTTTTTTCTAGCAGTTGAAAACTGATACCTCAAATCGCAAAATTTCTTTTAAATATACCAGCATACAGTAACCAGCACTGTACTGTACTGCACTCCATATTTTAATACTTATTTATAATCTGTTCACTGCACCTCAGGACTGTTCACTGCACCCTTATAATGTAAATTACCCTTATAATGTAAATTACCCTTATAATGTAAA